TCATCACCATACGATGGTCCACCGGGAGGCCACTCAGTGCCTGGGTTCGTGTTGAAGCGAGCGATCAGGAACCGGATCGGCGTCTTGGGAGTCTGCAGGTACAGGGTCAGGTGTCCACTCGGTAAGGGGGACAGTTCACTGCAGTACCAGTTGCCTCTCTCAGATCGATGTGCCATGTAGTCCCCATGGTATGAAATCACCGAACGTCGGGCCTTCAGCTCACGGGCTCCCAGCAATGGTGGTGTCATCTCGGCTCCACCATCAAGCAAGTAGAAGCCCAGTTCGCCCAGCGCTGGAGTGTAGAGGACAACCTTGCTGACTGCCCGTTGTGACTCTCCATTCCCGAAGCGGAAACGTGGTCGATCACCAAGCTCCACATTGTAGAGGAAGTTGCAAGAGTCCATGAGCCTTGCCATCGCCCGGATGCCAGCCACAGACTCCGTCGCTCCGGTGTCGATGATCACCCGGCTGCAGGACATGCTGTCAAAATCATCCCGCTCCGTCAGGCTGAGGACATAGACGTCGGGCACCCACTCTGCCTCGTAGTCGGTGAAGAAGACCTTGCCCTTCTTCCCCTTGGAGGCGCTCTTGCCCTTGCCCTTGCCGATGAAGGAACTCCTCGAAGAAGGCGACGATGAAGCTGCCTTCTTTCCTCCTTTTCCGGACCATCTGTCAGGGCACTTGGCATAGCCGTGTCCTGGTTGTCCGCAGATGAAGCACGGACCAAATCCTCCGGATCCTTTGCTCTTCCCTGAGGGCGGTCCTTTTCTCTTGCCTTTTCCACCTCCAAGATGTCCAGGATGGCCTTTGGTGCCAGTTGGATCGAAGTAGCCACGAGCAGCTCGAACTCTTGCCACCGCCTGACGTGCTTCCGCCAGGGTCTTGTTGGCCTCTGTCGCGAGAGCGTAGGCCTCTTCCAACCGCTGCTCACCCTCAATCTCTTCAGTGCTGCGATCTTGCCCTCCAGCTCCGTCATCATGAAGACCAGCGTAGGTCTCCTCCGCCTCATAGCCATCATCCCAAGACGAAGGGGACCAGTCAGCCCAATAGGCGTCCGCCTCGCTCCACCAAGAGTCATCATCAGGCCACCATTCCTCCTCAAGGTCCCAGTCGTTGTTCTCCTCATTGAACCAGACGGTCTTGCGAGGGAACCGGCCATGATGATCATCCGCCTGATCAGCACCATCAGAAAACAGGGACCTCAGGGCTTGGCGTCAAGACACGTTGCCTCTCGGCTTGCGACAGCTTCGAAGCCTTCAGGAGTCGATAGCCCCTCAACTCATTCTCGAAGAACCCGGCGCCACCTGAGGGCGCGACCATCGGAGGCGGCGGAGGTTCATCGTCCTCCACCACAAAGCTGGCCTCATCTCTTCCAGAGCTCAACCCTGCTCGAGTCACGTTCGGCGAACGGGTTGGTGAAGTTGGAGGGTCATGTTCACTTGCCCCCACTGCCATCGACCGGACTTCATGCCGAGCACGCTCATGCCTTGCTCGCTGAAGAGCTTGTTGGAGTTCCACGAACAGCTCTTCTTCTCGGACGAGCAACTGCGGGATGCTCTCGTTGGGGCCCCTCCTGAGGCCACTCCATTTCTCCAATCTCGAAAACGAGTCGGGGATGGGGAGCTTCTGGAGAGGGCTTTCTCGAAGTACCCGAAGTAGTTTCTCCAGGCCTGTGTCCGAGCTGAAGTCCTTGGGGTCGAGATGGCGAACCACCGACTTAGCGGCGCCGGAGAGGCGCTGCCAAATCTTCGGGGCTGCGAGCTTCTTCTCGCTGTCCTTCAGAGCGCATTAATCAAACCACTTGCAGGACGTGGCGAATGCCTCGAAGGAGCTCGGGTCTCCGTCCCACACTGGGACCTCCTCAGTGGGCATCAGCCCTTGCCGCCAGGATCTCCTCGAAGGTCACCTGGATGTAGCCAGAGCTCCGCCTACCATGAAAGCGGTCCTACCACAAGGACAAAAGGGGTCCGACCACGGACCGAGGCGTGCTACGCGCGGTTTTCCCGCACGGCTCTCGAGCCCACCCTATGGGCAGTGAAAAAGGGTCAAACATGTGTCCATGGAACCTCATGCTTGCACTTCGGATCTGTTCGGGGGGGCCACCTGCCAGCTTCCCCGGATAGTGTGCGGCCACGCAGCCCACTTCCGGTAACTCCCGACGTTCGCTTATTACTTATTACTTAATGACTGTGTACAAAGCTGCCTTACATAGATTTACACCAATCAAACAAATCTTTCTTTAAAGCAACCCCAGTGGCTCCAAGGTACCTGAAAACCCTAGGCCCTAGACTGCAAATAATCAATTGATTCGCGAAAATTAGCAAGTGCACACAAGGCAAAAAAAGAACAGCTTTTGTCCCAATAACTCGGAGCCTCTTTGTATTCTCTCTTGCCATCTCTTGCCTCTCCACTCCCCATACTCCCACCATCCGTCCTTACGACCGGACCTGCTCCACCCGACTCGAGGCGCCGAGCCTGAGCTCGAACCCAGGGGTGGTTCCGGTGACGCCAAAGCATCGAGAGGCCGGTGAGGTCGTAGCTCATGAAGGTCGTCTCCACCTCCGCGACGTCCGCGGATTCGGTCGTGTCAACGGTCGCTTTCCCATGGGCGTCGATTAAAAAGACATCTGATTCTTGCCATTTGGAACATGTTCATCAACGTCATACCCTCATGACATGTCTATCTGTTTATTGTTGTCTTTCTGGCGGTGTGGTGTTCAACGACGCTGGAGCTTTTTCTAAGTCTCTCACCACCGTGATGTCTCCATCTTTGTAGACCTGCACGGAACCCGTCGTCGCGTCCGGTCGTCCGGTCGTCATTGCCGTGCCGGAATTGGGGGGCGCGGGGCGCGGCGTGGAACCGGTCGCTGAAAAGCAACACGCAGGACGCACATGATTTGGGCTTGTAGTTGTACTGTAGCGAAAACTCCTGGGGATTTATATAGCTGGTCATTGACTCCCGGAATTTGCGGCATGTCCGAACAGCTCCAAGAGTTTCTCTAGTTTCCAAGTCAAATGATCCTCCCAAGAACTGCTTCATCCCAGCTCTTCATTCACCAATCTCCCTTGAAGCAGCACGTGCCCCCATGGTCTCTACGGTCGTCCCCAGCCTGGTCTTTCTGAGAGCCTCCTAGGACCACGATCATCTCTGAGAAGTTTTGGAACTGGGCCGCCTGAATTCTGCGATGGCGATGGGCTGCATCCATGTCTTTTCCTCTCCCCCAGGAGGGATCGGGACGTTCTTTGTTCCAGAAGGAAGCCAAGAAGGACATGGAATCCACGGGTGGGTCTCCTGAAAAAAAGGGCCGTTCACATGGGTTCATCTGGTGTCAAAATGCTCCAAGAACTCATCTTTACCCGGACTACACACACATGGCCAGGACCTGTGGAGTCTCCCGATACGCGGCCTGGTTTTTCACCACAAAAAATATCTGACGACCAAGACCTGTGAGTCCGGTCATAGCAGGTATGGACTCATGACTACCGCAAGACAAGTTGCAAAACGAGAGACCCAAAAACCCAGGGCTTTTTCCCAAGACCGCCCGGAAGCATCTGCTCGTTGGTCCAGTCGCTCGCTCACCCCGCCAGGCCCCGCCTTGAGTGTGCCCATGAGCAAAGCCCGTGGCCTGGCGGTGAGCACTCACCGCTGCGTCATCGGACGACCCGCGGGCGGTGGATGGTCCGTGGGACAGGACTGGATGGTCTGGTGGGGCAACAAAGGTGGGACATCGACGTGGGACAAAGGCGAGGAGTGGGAGGTCCTGTCTGAAAAGGTGTGTTGATGAGAAGTGTGGTAGAAGCAGAGGCATGCGGTTTGCGGAGGCATTGGTTGGCAGGTTCATAGACAGCGGAGTACCAAGACATTACTGACATGTTCTGAGATGTTCCGCATCTTCTCCATGTCCCTTTCCCTGTTCCCCCCGGCCTTATCATCCTCCCACTTCTTCCCCTCGTCTCCTCCACCCAAAAACCTCCGCAAAGATGTTCTTCTCCCGTTCCTCTCGTTCGTCTCTCGTTCCTCCGCCCCTCCGGCTCCGCCTGGCATAGTGCGGGTTGGAGTTCACCACGATCTTCAAGGGTGGCCCCAGCAGCTCGGTCTCTGCCAGCCGCGCCGACGAAGCGGTCGGCCACAAACAGAGCCTCGAATTGATTAGATGGGGAGAAGAAACTCTGGGTGCATCAGGTAGGCGAAGCCATTTTTCGAGTACAACGCACTCTCGAGCAGTGAAGAACGATCGTGAAGATGGCATGGTCTTTGTGAAACTCGGGAAATGAAAAGGCAAAGAGCAGTAGAGGTGGAGGCCCTTGATCCACAAGTGTCCTGGAACTCTTGAACTGACCAAGGGTCTCAACGATCGAAACCCGCTATTGGCGTCTCCAAAAGCATCGCCAACGTTGCAAGTGCCATATCTAGTAGACGAACGACGGCCATGCATAGCCCCTGCGGATGATCATGGCCCCTGGGGATGATGACAAACGGTTTTTCATGGTTTTCTCCACTTTCATGATTTCAAGGAGTGTACATTGGAGAAGTCTTCCCATGGGACACCCGCGATTGGAACCGGCCACCGGCCCCACGCCACCCCAAACGCCCGCCCCCGGGCGAGGGGCCACCACGCCAGCGTCGCCAGCGGAGAGCGGAGCACCGTCGCCATTCACCGCGGATCGAAGACGGCGGCGCCGGTCTCGTTGACGCTGCTCGGAAGACGGGAAGACGATTGAACAGACCTCGGTGTGAAGGTGGACACGGTGGAGCATGCACGGTGGATGGTCGGTGGGGAACCCGGAACGCATGAGACGGAGAATGGAAGGGCGGTTGTTTCATCACAAAGGAGATGTGGCACGGAAAAACGTGGCCCACCAGACCAGCGCGTGCGAATTCAGACCAGCCGCATACGCCACAATTCCGTTTGGCACTGACCATGAAGCTTGGAGCCAAACTCCAGCGAAATCAGTTCTGTACATGAGAAATATGCCAAACCTCCATGAGTGGCAAAGCCGCCAAACCGCAGCACTTCCTTCGGCAAGGGCCCAAACGCACGCCATGTTTTCCTCCCCATCACTTCTTTCAGATCCCAGAGTCACTACTAGAGCACTACTAGAGTCACTAGAGCAGAGTCCATCTCAAATCCGCCGAATCCACTGGTGGGATTCCGATTCCATGATGTACTCGCTCTCCTTCCTCCGCGGCCGACGACCGCAGCCGAGACCACGGCGTCCAGAGTGGAGTGGACCGACCCCGCGCGGCGACGGTGAGGACCTCCGCGCGGGACGGGGACTGCGACGACGAGACGAGGCGAAGGATTCAAGATTGGATTGATCTCGAGTCAGGACAGCTGCTACCAGAAAACACCACACCTCCAAAGCATCCTCTTACTATTTCATACATCTTGCATATATATATATATATATATATGCATCTTATTTCCGTTCCTCTTAAGATCTCTTGGGGAAAGACTATCAAAGGAACCCTCCTGGCCGTGGCCGGCCGGCCTGCTTGATTCGGTGTGCTTAGGACCCGCCATACTCCGCGTGCTGCCCACAGAACCACATGCTCAAGGCATAGCGCTCCGCATAGGCACTTCGCACCTCATGCAGGACGCGGTCCGCCAGGAGAAGAACCAAGGTATTCGCCTCTGGAGAGACCATGTACCACTTCCTGAGATGTTCTCCACTTCCGAAGAGAAATGAAAATCAGCTGCTGAAAGGCCTAGAGTCTACAGGTAAAACTTAGGTAACGGTAAAATAATATATATATATATATATGTATTATTCAGAATAAATATGGATAAATGTATCAAGAAATGATAGAAAATGTGTCCCCAACAGCCAAGTGAGCTTCCCTTCCACCTGCTCATCGCCCAACTCCCCTTTCTCGGGCTCGAAGATGGCCAGCTCTCCCCCTGCTCGGCGGTCCCAGTTCTGATTCAAGTACCTGCTCAATGGCATCTGCACGAAAACAGAGCAAGAAACATACGTACAAAGTTTTACTTTGCTGCAATGAGGCTTCACTAAGCTGGTTGCTTCCTAGCTTCAGTGAATCAAATGACTTCTAAATCTTCCAATCAACCCTTCTTGCGCCCTTGCGTTGCCATGTCCACACACACTCAACGGTTTATCACTAAGCCCAGTGGCATCACCATGGTCAAAACTCGGCCATCCACTCGTCCATCTCCATCTGCATTGTCCAAATGAGCGCTGTATGCACCACCTGCAGGGCTGGATGCCATCTCTCGGCATGCTTCAGCATTCCCGAATTCTCAAGCACCTCCAGCAAAAGACCGAACAAAACTTGATGTGCTTGGCCGCCGCGCCATGGTCCTCCATCCACACCCTCCCACCCTCCCTCCTTCTTCATAACAGGCCAACATCCCATCACAACGCTCCGTGATGCGCAACTGCAGCCGGCTTCGCCGCAGCCTGGGGTCCAATTGCATGCCCAAATCCGTCAGGGCGCTTTCCAACATTGTCAGGGTGGGCGCTGGGCCTGCGTGGGAGAACCAGCTGCAGGTGGGCAGTAGCAGTCGTCGTGGTGACTCAGTGATCAGCACAAAAAGAATCCACTTCAGGGTTACGTCTCTGTTCCATGCCTTGCTCATCCCTCAACCAGCACCCTATCAAGCTCTTCCTCCCGGCCTATCAAGCCTATCAAGCGTTCGGCCACCCACAGTATCTGGGTCCAGTCAGCTGGCCTTTAGGTCCAGTCAGCCCCTGCTCCTGCATGAACAAGGTCCAATCCCCACGCAGCGCGTTCGGCGACTCCGTGGGGTCCACCACGCGGTTCTCGATGACCGTGGCGCCCTTGGACATCTTGGGCTTCAGCTGGGAGGCCTCCAAACCTGGGTGTGTGTGTGTGTGGCTGATTCGGAAGCCGGGCAAGAAAAAATCAAAGCAACATACAAAAGAACTGCTTCCGTTCGGGGTTACCTGGCTGGACAACCCTACGCCTTACTTATAGGATCTTATAGGTCTCCATTGGACACCCATTGGAAGTGCTTAGGGGATCCACCCACAGGGAAAAAGACCAAAAAAACTTTTAAGCAAGACCAGGCAACGGGCCCGGTCCATGAGCTTTCCTGAGACACGACACACGGACGATCGGGTGGGATCCTCGGACAGTGCTCGGGAAAATCCAACAGAGGTAGCCAGTGACCTGAAAAGGACCCGAATTACTCAGGCACCTTGCGGGATAGTGGAACTAGGGTTCTGAAAAACCTCTGTTGG